TAAATAACAATTACCAACTACAATTATAATTAAAGAATACTTTAAACGATGAAAAGAAATAAAAAAAACAAAAGGAAAAGAAAACCAACTACTACTTATAGAGTAGATGCCTAGCCCATCTCTTAACTTATACAATACATACCAAACTATTTGTACATGGAAACCCAACTAAATAAAATAAAAAAAATAAAAAATAATAATACAAAAATTTTAAAATTAAAATTAAAAAACCACAACAAAATATGGGCATTTAGAATTTAAAATTCGTTTGGAATGCAACAAATTTTCAGACCTTAAAAAATACTATTAAAAAAATGGAAGATAATTCGTAGTTTAAAAACAAAAAGAAAAGCCGAATAAAGTGAAAATTAAAAAATGTGTTTAAAAAAAATAATATTAAATGAAATATGTGTATTTCAATGATGAATCGAATAAAACAAAAAGTAAATTGACTTTAAGATCAACCAATATATGCATATGTCCATATACATATGCATATATCTATGTATATATATCTATATACATTTGTGCATATATCCATAAGCATACATCTATATATATATATACTATATGAATCGTTATATAAGAGAACAAAATTCGTTGATAGGAAGGGGACATAATTTTTATTTCAAAACTTCTTTTTGTTACTCTCTTGGTCTTCAGTTATAAATTTAGATGAGATCTCAGTGGATGGGTCTTTAAGGGCAGGGGAGGGGTTCTCTTAACTGATTGGATCGTGAATATCATTTTACGAATTCGACAATTTTGATTGATGCGTGCGATCGCGTGTATAGTGCGGACCATAGCCACGCCCAAAGCCGGGCAAGAGTTTAACTGGATTCGGATCGCGATGGAAGTTGATCATCACCTTGGCCACAATCGAGATGACGCGATCCTGGTCGCCGTTTTGATACAGGGTATCCAGATAGTCGAAATACGATTCATAGCGTGCGAACTCTCGCTCTCGCGGCGACATCAATAGAATTTTGGTATCACGCTGAAAGTCGGTTATGATATTGAGATCCTGTTCCATGAAGCGACAGAAGCCCACCGACTCGGACTGCATACAGCGAAAGAACTTGTTCAAGAGATCATAGTGAAAGACCTTGCTCGGCTTCCGGGGCGACTTGAATTTGGGCTTCTTTATTTTGGAGACGAAAAGTTTCGGCATTTTGGGCTTGCACTGCTGCTGCTTTCTCATCTGCGACAGCTCGTGCAGGTGGCGATAGTCGTCGATCAGGGAGTCGCGTGCGACTCCAACAGAGGCCAGCTCGGCATTGGTGAGTACGTCCAGATTGTAGAACTTGGAGATTTCGCTGTTGCTCATTTTACAGCAACCCTTAAATTTGAGCTTCTGTTTATTAATATCTGCGGGAGAGTTGGAGGAGGACAACAGCCGTGAAGGTATGTTCTCGGTTAAAGTATTGATGAAGCCAACTTACCAATTGTGTTGCACATGTTTCACTATTTTGTGTGTCCTATTGTCTTTTAAGGATTAGAAAATATATAAATATGTTTTGTTTTTAGAATATTAAGTGTGCTGACGCTATGAATTTTTGTTGTGAATGAGGGCCTCATATTATTTCATGCTACATGTCTCCTTCGATTTGAGAACTATTCCAAAGGGAAGCTGATCCGAATTTTGAATTGGCCGCCATGTAAACATCGCTTGTGCGGCATCTAGCGTTTATTTGTCAAACAAAATATCGTTAAGTTTTTGTTGGCCAAACGGTTAAACGGGTAAAGCAAACAAAGCTGGCATTTTACTAAGCAGTTGCTTATATAGTTAAACGGCAGAACCGTGAAAAGAATCAGCGAAATCATTAATAAATGATGTGGTGCAGGCATAAGGCATATTGTACCAGCTAAGCAGCCAAAGCAACGGCGTGAGCATTAACGGTTATGGCAACAGCAGCCTGTTGGAGCTGGCAGCGCATGCACTTCCAAGCGTTTAAGTGGTTCGAATAGTTGCAAGTAAATAGTCCATGCATTGAGGAGTGGAAAACAGTACAAGGTGTTGTTCAGGTGTGTTTATTAATTTATTTGTATCATATTTCTTATAATAATTTAATTCAGTTAAACGATTTTAAATTTAGCGATATTTGCGGGACATTGATAGAAACATCGCATGCGATATAAACATCGCGGTTTCTGCTCAAGCTATCGTATATCGATATAACCATACATTAGCTATCTTTTTTATTTTGTTATTTACCAATAGCACAAAGTTGTTAATATGTCATAAGTTCTTTTCGTTGATTTATTTAAAATAATTGTAAAATATTTGTAGATAACTGAAAGTGTGTATTAATGCTGAGCTAGTGCAGTGGAATGTTTTAGGTAAAAGGAATCGGGCAAAAACAATTAAAAGCAACTGGCAGCGAATGGACGCATTTAATTCATGTTTGTTTTCGTTTTGTTTGCTTTGTCGCAGTGTGTGTGCGTGAGACGTGCGCTGAGTTTTTGGAGTAGCCTATGCGAAATTAGATGCTGAGATGTCCGAGGTACGCATTCGTCCACGGCAAGTGCTCGTGCTGATCATCGTGTTCATTGTTGTGCTGCTAATGGTTCATCGCAACGGTAAACACACCTGCCAGGGCCCCGCTTACCTGCAGGCGATGTACAGCAAAGCTCAAGCGGACACGTTGCCCAAAATCTATGCCATAACGCCGACGTATGCTCGGCCAGCACAAAAAGCCGAATTGACCAGGTGAGCTGTGATGCAGTAGTATTTGTGTACCCTGTAGTCGGTGAATCAACGGGTGGGATGTGTTTGTTTATGTGCATGTAAGATGCTCAAGAAGGCGTGGCCAAATCCTTTTTGCATATATACATATCAAAATAGATATATACATATGTATAAACATATATTTTCTACGATCAGTAAGTATATTTATACTTCAACAGATCTATCTGTCTAGCCGCCTTTCAGTTTTCCCGTTCGCCTCTTAAAGCCTTGCACACGTATGTGTCCTGCTCTCGCACACATAGATCACATCTACTATCGATAACTTCTGCGCTTTCTGGAAATCGATCGATTCAATTAGAGCATTTCGTGCACTTTTCAAAAAATGGAACGAATGTGAAAAATATAATTATTATAAATGCCACATTTAGATACTAGTGCAGCGCACTCTTACATATATATATCTATTAAATGTATATACGATTTCTCTTGTCAGGCTATCGCATTTGTTTATGCTGGTGCCCAATTTGCATTGGATCATTGTGGAAGATTCGAACAGCACAACGAGTCTGGTGCGAAATGTGTTGCTGCGTGCCGGACTGGAGAATCGCTTTACGCAGCTGAATATCAAAACTCCGCCGGAGTTCAAGCTGCAGGGCAAGGATCCCAATTGGATCAAGCCACGCGGCGTTGAGCAGCGTAATCTGGCATTGACCTGGCTGCGCAGTAATGTCGATGCCGATCGGCATGCCATTGTCTTCTTCATGGACGACGACAACTCCTATTCCGTGGAGCTGTTTGCTGAGATGTCCAAAATAAAGCCCGGCCGGGTGGGCATCTGGCCCGTTGGCCTCGTCGGCGGCCTGATGGTCGAGCGGCCGCTGCTGAACGATAACAATCAGGTGACGGGCTTCAATGCCGCCTGGCGGCCAGAGCGACCGTTCCCCATCGACATGGCCGCCTTTGGCATTAGCATCGATCTGTTCTTCAAGTATCCGCAGGCCAGCTTCTCGTACGAAGTGCAGCGCGGCTACCAAGAGAGCGAAATTCTACGTTATCTAACCACACGGGAGCAACTGCAGCCGCTGGCCAACAACTGTCGCGACGTGCTCGTCTGGCACACGCGCACCGAGAAGACCAAGCTCAATGCCGAGGAGGCGCTGCAGCGCCAGAACAAGCGCTCCGACGAGGGCATCGAGGTTTAACTGACCCCCCCCCTCGCATGCCACCCGCAACCGCAGAATCACGATCTAAAGAATTTACCAACTCAGTGTTTTGTGTATTAGAATATATATTTATAGACGTATATATGTATTTGTAGTATGTATATATGTATTGTATATATATTCTTTATGGCTACTGTATTATAAGAAACAAAATTGTTTTAATCAAATTTTATTCGAGTTACCTTTAAGCTTAGCCAAATATATTTTTGTCAACGATTATGCCTTGTAGAAAAACTGAACAAATATAAATATAT